ATGGTTCAGCCGTATGGAATTTAGCACAGTGATATATGGCAGGACAAGATAACCTGCCACAGTTTTGCATGGAAATTAGAAATCCCAAGGATGTGCAATGACTGTGTGCACAGACATAAGGAATAATGATTCCCTTCAGAAATACTGGATTTTATCAGGAAAGCAAAAAGGATGTATTAAATTCCTATGCCTATTTTTTAATGAAACAATCTAAGAGAAAAAAAAATCTTTAAAAGGGTATCAGCAGAAGTGAACTGCCCAGCTGGCAAAGGAAGGTGACTCAAGCCCAGCTCTACCACCCCACAATACTGGCACAGCCCAGCCCCTGTGCCCACTCTGTGCCTCTTCGGGGAGCCCAGAGGTGTTTTGCAATATCTGCTTTCAGCCCCAAACATGGCAAAATTCTCAGATAGCAAAGTTCAGCAGCACTCTGCACACAGTTTCCTTGTTTAGCCAAGTCTTTCCCTAAACAAGTTGGCTTTAGGAAAATATTTGGGGTAACTTCTGCTAAGGTTTCAATTGAATCAGCTTTGTTTAGACACAAGAATTTTATAAAGAGAGCATTGAAGAATGAAGCAATATTGGCTGGAGCTCTGCTGGCCTAGGGGCGCGTGCTTTGCATCACGGGTACCCAATGGGGAGGGAAGCACAGCAGTGCTGTGTGTGTCTCCCTAGAGACTGCAGGCACGTCGCTGCGTTTCCCTCATGTTTGCCTTGCTGCTTCCCCTCTAAGCACTTTTTGCATCACCCTGGCTGTATTCCCGAGCTGCATCTCACAGCTCTGTCTTGCTCATGGAGCCCTCACGTTACCTTTGCACGGTGTTGCCATGGGAAAGGTTGTTTGTTACCTGTTACAGCTGGGGAGGATGGAGAAAAGGTATCGTTTACATTAAAAAAATATGCTTGAGGAGTGCATGAACTTTTGTTATCTACATTTTGGAAAAAAAGTTGGGTTTGCCTGCTCTGAATGCACTCAAACTGGGCAGTGCCCATTCCTCAGCTGTGACTAACCTGCCTGGGATCCCCGGGGATAGCTTCTCCTTCTAACTAGGAAACCAAATATTTTGGCTCTCAAAGCAAAAATACCTCAGTGACCAGAGGTGGTGGAGAAGGGACTCCAGGCTGGCAGAGGTTTAGCACCTGGGAAGATCAGAACTCATTGCAGACAGTGCTTCAGGCATAGCCCCGTCACACCAAGATTTTGCCTGGAAATTGGCTTCATGCCATTAATAAGAACAGGAAATACTTCTTGTTTTTTCTCAGAAGGGGAACATTAAGTAATGGCTTTATCTTAATTTGTCAGGCTTTGCCCTAGGGACCGAAATTAGATGGCTGGAAGCCAGCGGAGTAGTTGAGAACCAAAGCATTAACACTCTGATAAAAAAAAAAAAAAATCATTTTAATTAGTTTTCCAGCTGAAAAATAATGAAGTTCTACATGCCAAAAATCTGAAATGGAGTAATGGAAAGGCCTGTGCTTATACAATAGGGCCTGATCGCAATCTCAGGGCTCCATTTGTATTCGTTTGTAGTGAGAAACAAAGGAAGGTGTTTGGATTCTCTCTCTTTATATAAAGCCTCTGCTCCAGCACTCAGGGCTGGTCTTGAACCAGGCTTCCCACAGTGCTGCTGCCAAATCTACAAAATTTTCCTGGCCGATGTTCAGGAAAGTACTGCTCGAACTCTAGGATGGAAAGTTGAAAGGCTTTGCCTGGATACACTGAAACATATACAAACAGTGCCTGACGTATGGCACTGATTCATCCTGCACAGGCTGTCCCCACGTATCCCGGGGGAAAGGAATTGTAAAGCTCCCTCTGATCCCTTCAGCTGCGGGTGTGAGATGTTGGAGGGAGGAATCATCCTAAACACCCATGGAGGCACTTCCCTGTGGGGATTAGAATTGCAGAGCTGGGCCGCAGCACTCAGCAGGGCCAGGGCTGGGACAAACAGCTCAGGGACATTGCAGAGATAATTCTATGGTCCAATATGCCATTAGTCACTGTGAGTAAGAGGTTGTCCTTACTGTGGGAGGAGTGATGGGAATTTAGATGTTTGCACTCCCGCTGCGTACTGAGGAGACCTAACACAACCTGAACCACACGCTGGTAGACGTTTAGCTGATTAGCCACAGATGTCCCCAAAAACCTCCCTGATCAGTGAAGTGCCCAGTGAATAGAAGTGCCTCATTGCCATGAGCAGAGTAACAGATTCTTGCCCATTTTACAGAATCTCGTTTCTGCAAGTGCTGTTACCTGCGGGGTGAGCCTGCCCTGTCGCCCTGGTTAGCAGGGTGCAGGCTGTTTGGGATCTGCCCTGACAGGGGTGGCAAGGAGATGTACCAGCCCAGCCATACCATCCTCTGGGCAGAACGCATCTTCCACTGTGTAGTTTTTCAGTTCATTGAGGATTTCATAGAATCATTGAGGTTGGAAAAGACCTCTAAGATCATTTAGTCCAACCATCAGCCCATCACCACCATGCCTGTAAACCACGTCCCTCAGTGCCATCTCTCCATGTTTACTGAACACCTCCCGGGACAGTGACGCCACCACCTCCCAGGGCAGCCTGCTCCAATACCTCACCACTCTTTCACAGAAGAAAAATTTCCTAATATCCAACCTGAACCTCCCCTCGTGCAACATAAGGCCATTACCTCTTGTCTTATCGCTGTTACCTTGGAGAAGAGGCTGACACCCACCTCACTACAACCTCCTTTCAGGGAACTGTAGGGAGCAATAACATCTCTCCTGAGCCTCTTCTCCAGACTAAATAATCCCAGTTCCCGCCCCTCCAGCCTATGATTTGTGCTTGTCTGCCCCCAGCTTGTTTATTTGCTCTTCTGTAAACAGCCAGGACATGTAAGGGCAAAGATCTACCACTTACTCCTCATTCCTTAAATGTACCTTTTTGTAAAGAGTGATACTGTCGGGGTTCAGCATGGTTGAAGAGCGCTCATTCCCGCTGCATTCATTCTCACTGCACTCAGTATGACACCGAGGAGCCCAGCGCAAAAGCAGCAATCACCCCAAGACAGGAACCCATGAGAAAGCACAGTGTACTCTATTGTCTGTTCTTGGGGTTAGAAAAATGTGAGTTATGCAGTAAAAAGCACTGAACTGTCAAAAAACAAGCATTGGTTTATGTTTTTATACGCTGCCTGACATTGTCAAGCTCTGGGTCAAGTTGTTGGGTTGCTCTGGAGGCTGGCATGTCACTTTTGATATAATTCAGTTTTCTGTACAAACCATGTAGTTTTGAAAGTGAAGACTTCCCAGATACCAGCAAATATATAGCAACACTCCGCTAGTAAAGAGAAAATAGTATGAAATGTAGAGGCTAAGAAAAAACCATTTATAGCACACATATTTGCCATATTGCCAAACGAAAGAATCGCAGGTATGAAGCAAAAAAGCAACTCTATTCACAACATTAAAATATATGAGGCTTTAGTTTATATTTTTACTTGGTTGCATTTAAGTGGAGCATTTTATTTATTTATTGTACACTGTTGTTTGCAAGTGATTGTTAATACCTGAAGTTTTGGGTAAGCACCTATTTATTTAAATATTCAAAATATAAAAATAAATAATGAATCTTTAGTGACAGAAGGGACCCTCAGATTACCTTACGTAGTCTCTATAAGGCAAATCAAAGTGTTCCATTTTGTCATTTTGGAGCCAATAGTACAACCTGCTTTTGGTCGAAATACATATTCTAGAATGGCATCTGCTGTTGTTTACACCCCTGAACAAGCATGTGAGGGAGATATCAAGATCCTTAGTCAGATTGCTGTGCTCCATGATGCAATCAAAATGTAAGACCCTTAGAAATAAATGCATTTGGTCAATGTATGAATGTAAGGGGATATCCAGAGAGTCTTGAGAAGAAGCACGGTCTTTCTCCTCATGGACAGCTTTATTCAAAATCTAAAAAGGTTTCAATCATCATTCTGGTGAATTAAAGTTTTATGAAACTTTTGACAGAGTTTTTCACAGCATTTGTGTGATTCACTAAAAGATCTGTAACTGAATGTTGCGCACGTCCTTGTTGCTCTCAGGTGTTCAACAGTCTGGTGTCAGGCAACCTTGCAAATCTGATGCATTGCCAAAAGCCAACTAAGAATAAATGAAATAGTTTTCAAACACTATTCATGTGATCAGTTACTTTGAGGATATCATGTGCCCATAAACAGAAACTATCCATGTCACAACACAGAGAAACATCAGTGAGCTTTAAGCCAGACCCACTGCTTTGTGCTGTAAGATTCATCAGTACAAGTATGTATCTTATGAAAACTTACATGTAAGTATTGCAGAAAAAAAGGCCAAAAATTGTTGATTCTTACAAGGATGTTATCTGGCATAAGATGAGTGTAACTGCAGATGAAGAGATTAGAAACTGATTCAACCAAGGATTAACAAGGGGTGCTTATCAGCTGAACAACTGTGATAATCCAATATGACATTTACATCAAATGGGTAATTTTGTTCTGTGAAAATCAGTTTTGACTATAGTGTTATTGACTACAGCAGTGATTTTCACAGACAAAACTCCTGCCATCGCATAGCAAGTATCACCACTGAAACAACTGCAGGACTCTATACTGAGGCTCCCTGCTTCAGAGCAGATTTTCCAGGGTGAAGAAGCCTTCTTACTCTGACAAACAGAAGGAGCATTGCTCTGTGTCAGTCAGACAATGAATTCTCATTAAACACGTTTCAGCCAAATAGGCTTTTGCTCTGTCAGCAGAATATCACAGATTCAAGGTCAACAAAATAAAAAAATCACCCCCAAGGTTTCCCACAGCACAGACACACGGCCCACAATGGGACATAAACTCTATTCATTCACTGTTTTCAGTGAGGGCATTAAGCAGTTGAGAAAATGAGAGTTGGAAAGACAAAAAAAAAAAAAAAAAAATCAGAAAACTCATTCTACAAAAGAAAAAAATTGAACTGCCAAAAAACAGGAAGTTCTTGGAAATGTTTGAATCCTTACCTACTATTCAAATTTAACAATAGGCTCTGCGAGAGTGGCGTGCTTGGTATAACAGCCAGTAGGAGTATCAGATGCAGAAGGAAAACCCGCTGCTGAAAGAAAGAGTTCTATCCTTATGATCGTCATCATGTCACGCATTTCATTTCATCGTTCATTTTTAATCGTGACTGCTTGACATCTGCAAAAATCACCGAACTTCTGGTCTCAAAAACAACGATCATTGTTTCCTCGTTACTCATGCCCGTGTCACACAGGAAAAAGCCCATTCAAAGCCGTGTGGAAGAGTCCAACACAACGGAAAGGACAAATGAGCCCAGCGTGTTTGTGGCCACAACCAGAGTGCATTCACTGGCTTAATTCAGGGTGCTTTTGTAGTCTGTCATCATTTGCAGTGTGCTTGCTTGCTGTGTTGTTAAGCTGGGTATGCTTTTGGCGTGGTACTTCACTTATCATGTTTTCACAGTATTTAGCAAAGAATTTTCAGTTTGTTGATATTTTGCTACCAAAACAAGAGTAAAACATATAAAACATATAAGCTGTACAGATTTATTACTTAAAATTGGTTTATATTAGTATTTTCAAATATTATTTTTCTAATCTGAGGCCTGCCTTCCTGGATTTACAGCTTGTGTGTCACATTCTACTGTTGCACCCTGTATTGGACACCCGGGCCTGATCTCACCCTGCCTCTGCTCAGCCCCTGAGTGGAGCTAGCAACATCAGAAGTACACTCACACTGGGATTCTTGTGCAGCCAGTGAAGAGTGGGCTTGGAATCTCTTGCCTGTCCATAAAGCCTCTGAGCAACTGCCTGAAGAAATGACTTCCACTTTCCTCAATCATAACACTGATATGAGAGTTTGTGAGACTTACCTCGTTCAAATTTCTGTTTTCAATAGATAAGTATAGTCACATTGAATTCAGAAATTATGACTCTTGGAGGATTTTAATACATGGAAATTTAACATCGATGCAGAAGCTAAAAAACAATTTTAAAATATTTGCAAAAACAATGCTATCAAAGTTTGTTTTCAAAAATATCTTTTGTTTTTGACTATTTGTATGAATATTTACAAAAACAATGGTAAAAAAACGTATCTCTAGAGCCAGGATGTACAAACAGAAATGGGCTTTATGGCTAGAAGGATCACAAGCCTGTTAGAAACTGCATGATCTTCCAGCTTTTGGGAGTCTGAGAAAGTCTGCTCTGAGGTATCATGAAATGTATTTCTGCTGCTTATCTTTACACACCCCATGTTAGTTTCAAAATCATCCTGATATTTAGAGACAAAAGTACATCCACAGAGAAAATCAGAAAAACAATTCTTTCATAGATATGTTAAATACTTCCTCCTTTTTTTTTTTTTTTTTTTTTTAGGAAGTAACGCTGAGGTGGAGCTCAGGACTGCATTCCTTAAACAATACCCACAGTTCTTCGGTGAAAAATCATTCATTGAAAAAATTCTTATCAGCAGTAGTAAAGATTCATAAAAGATTAGGATAAATAGACCATGGGACAACTTTCTGAGGCTGAATTCTCATCATTTTTTGCCTTTAAATCAAGAAAACATTTCTTACTAAAAGATACATGATCTTTCAGCTGCAATTTATGAGGTTCGGTGCAAAAATTACTGGGTAACACTGGATGGCCCATGCTATGCAGGTCAGATTAAATGATCGCAATGGCCCTTGACCTCAGCAGCTACTAATCTTTCATGAGAGCAAAGCTATAAAAGACAGATGAACTGTAATAAAGAGGAACTGGAGTCTCTGGAGGACTATTTAAAGAATGTCTCAAATTAGCTAATGCAAGAAAGAGACCTTTTCTGATAGGAAAGCCTTAAAATCGTTGCACTTCCATAGATGTTTTTATTATATATATATTTCATTTTGATAATAAGAGAAATTGTATATTGGTTAAAAATATGGCTTGGGTCCCTTTGGCCTCCCCAGATCTGTTCCAGATTTCTCAAAGTGGGATTTGTGATGGTGATGCTTCAGTAGATCTTTCTGGGAATAGGACCTGGGAGCCTCTCTCAGGGGATGGTAAAACCTAGCCAGGATGATATGATGCTGTGCTCAGGAAAAGCTTGATCAGGAGAGATCAGGAGGTATATAGGTCCTTGGACCTGATCTTGGTGAGCTGGGGAGGCTGATGGAAACGCAACAAGATGCTTGAAGCCCTTTAAGCTATGCAGAGGAAAAAATGGGCCTGGTGTCAGGGACTGAGCCTTGACAAAAAGACTTTCCAGTGATGCTTGTGATTTACTGTGGGAGGAACTGGATGGGACAGGACTATAGAAGCTTCTTTTTGCTTACTGAAAGTCTCAGCCAGCAGGGCTGTATAATCCTGTGAGATGGACTGAGGAAGTCTTGTGGTGCCCTTGGGACAAACAGAAGATATATGAGAAATGTCTTCTAATAGAGCAAAGTTTCCTGCCTAGAAAGTGCTGTGAGTCAAGACTGCCAAGGAGTGAAGCACCAGAAAATGTAAAGTGTTTACAGCCATGGACCTGATGTGGAGGAAGAACACTGTAAGACTGCTGTGACTGAGTTCCAGGGAAAACCACCCCGGAAACTGATGCTGAGCTTTCAGTGCAATTGCAAGTTGGTTGAGATAAGTCAGTAAAGAGAGTGAAGACATGAAAGATACAAAAAAGAAACAAACAAATCAGACAAGACTGATGCGATGGGGAGGGCTAGTGAGACAGAAAGTGAGAAGAAAACAGAAGAGAAAGTAAGATCTTGTTTCTTATGCTTTAAGACAGCAAGGAAACAATATGAAAAAGTGATTCTCTGACAAATGAAAGCAATTCAGTAAGAATGAAAGGTAATGTGACAGTCTCTTTTAACTGTTTTCACAAAAGGCTTTCTGCAATTTGTCCATTTAACAACATACATTAGTGCTGATAGGATGACTTGCTGCATAGAGTGGAGAAAGGTTGGGAAAACTCAGATGAATTAAGCAGGGAAAGCTACGATGGTAGATAAAGAAAAAAAAAATTAAATAAATCAGACTGATTAATTTCCAAAGCACACAGGATGTCTATCACTAACTTCTAGTACGTTCCAGCTCTTAAGACTTTATTGATACCTACAATTAGGGAGTTATTAATTCAGTTGCTGCAGTTACTACCTGTCTTTTTTGTTTTCCTTTCTCTGCCATGAGAGAATATGAGAACTGTAATTGAACAAACGTATTGCAGTCTCACACATAGCACTGTGTGCTAAGGCACCTGAAATGGAAGAGTGCATTTCTCCCTAAATACACCTATTAACACCTGGTCTTTCAGATTCATTTCCATCATCTCATGCATCTTTCATAACTCTATACAAAGCACTTCTAGGGCAATTTAAAAATCCTGGACATGCTGGTACCCTGTGAATGAGTGCTGATGAGTGGCAGCAGTGTGACTGCAGTAGCTTGTTCTCACTGAGGATCTCATCTGACTAACACAGTGCCAAACAGCTCTCATCAGAGATATGTGCACAGAACTCAGGTCATTTCGAGGCATTTTGCAGTGGAGGCTCCTCCTCTCAGCCCAGTTTCTGACAAGGTAAAGCTGAAAGAAATTTTCTTTCTGATTGTTTCATCACCAGGCAGAGACCTGAAGGGAACAGCTCTTGATGCAGTTCCACCTCTGACAACTCAGGCTCTCTCATATCCCAGTGCTGGCTCTCTGGTGGTCAAAAGAGCAGACCCATTCTTCCTTTTCTACTCCTTCTTATGATAACTAGCACATATCATTCTCACAGTCACATAATCTTAGAAGATTCTTAGAAGGAATCTGGTGGTTTTCCTAATATCAGCATCTATCTTTCAGTTATTATGACTTCTCTAATGAACTGTGGATGAGGAGTGCAACTGGCTGACAAGTCAAAATTTTCCCGCAGGGATAGTAAAGTCAGGTAAAGTTAGAAGATGAAGTGAGGTGAACAGATTTTCTTTTTTGTATGGTTTCCATTCAATCTTGGCTAAAAATGCATCCCAGAACGTGTTCGTGTCTTTGCTGTGAGTTGCATTCTTCTTGTTTGGGCTGCTGACTAACTCTCCCAGACTAAATCAAGATGTAGGAATGGTTAGTGAAGGCTGCCCATTAGGCTACTAGTAAAAGACTAGGAACTGAGTTTTACAGCAAATGGCAAAGGAATTGAGCCCAGCTTGACAGTTTTATTTTTTGTCATTGAAGAGAAGTTTCAGACTGTTGCACGTTCCTTTTGTAAGATTATTTATCAAGGGCTGACTCTCTGTTTCTCTGAAGTAGAACTGAATTGGGCAAGCACACAAAGACAGGAGGTTTCCTTCCACAAAAATCAAATAATAACTTGGAAGTGAAGTGGAAGGAGTAAAGCTATAGCTGTGATTCCCATGTGGTGTCCTTTCTAGGAAGAATATATGATTCCACTGTCCATATTGCCTCCTCCAACAATCAAGCAATATATAGAGAAGGGGACGTGGCTGCATGCTTCAGACTTTCCGCATGTGATTTTATTCCCATTTAAAAGTTCATGAAATACAGCCCACAAAGAACAAAGTTCTTTAAAGAGTAGCAGAAGACAGATGGTGCCATTTTTCAGCTGGGGAACTTTCTGTGAAACAAGGCTCATTCCTCAGAATGCTCTTCACAACGGGGTGAAGATTTTTGTACTTCATGCATAATCCATCTGCAGTGATTTGTTTTTCTCCTCTGCAAAGAGATCATAGGCTCATATTAATCTTTTCCTGGTAAGAATAAGTAAATAAATTCATTCCTTCTCTAGCTAAAACACAGAAGTCTTTATGCTTCCTGCTGAAAAGCAGATAAATTTGTTAATTTCCATGCACACATCCTTTATTATTCAGGTCAATAAGTTATATTGCTTCCAAGTTCACATGAGTGTTGAGGTATCTTGCTGGGTTATTGCCTTTGGAAAGTCAAATGCTTCCCAATAGCAATATTCTTCTGTTACAATAATTGCATGCAAAACTTTGTTTTCCTGAAGAGAGCATAGCACAGGGAGGGTCAAGTTTCTTCCTTCACAGAGAACAATTTGAAAGAAGACTTCCCTGTCTTTTTGTCCATGCAACACTCATTACTTGTCTCCCTTTCTGA